ATATTTAAAAGACACTTCTAAATCAGTATATGAATGTGTTCTGAGTAACCAAGAAAGAGAAGCAAAGTGCTCACCTTCTTTAAAAGACCCGTAACCACTCGAATCACCTGGTGTATCAGCTGAGAGGGGCCAGCAGAGTTAGTCAGTCACCCAGTACCCACAGTGTATTGTAATTGCCTCTATGTGTTATTGGGTTCCTCGGGGCAGAAAAAGTCCTAATTGTTCATATTGCTAAGTACTCCAGCTGATGAGTACATCTGATGACTCTTTGTTTCCTGTTTAGAGGCGGCATTCCAGTCCGGCTCCCTGAAGCGGCCTGGTTCATCCCGGCAACTCCCCACCAACCTTCGGATTCTGCAGAACCCTATCTCGTCTGGTTTCAATCCCGAAGGCATATATGTATAACAGAATCTCTCTTTGGGGGAGAGACCCAATAAAGGTACCACGGACTGTAAAGATCCTTTCTTTGATTTGTGCCAATGACAAACAGAGATGTATTTCACAGGCCACTGTATCGTTTCCTGTCATAAACCGCATACCACTTGGAGCCATACCCTTGTGCACTGATGCTAAAGAACAAAGAGACTGTTTCCACCCATGAGCAGTGTTGACATTTTTATCCAGCAGCTGTAATGCAAAGCCTTCATTTTTATGTGTAGCCCTTGGAGAGCATTAGGAAAGTATTATTCTGTGTGTATACATTTAAAAAACAAAAGTGACTTAGGAGTGAAGAAAAGTATGCGACTGGCTTAGTTTAATTTATTCCATGTAGCCAATTAATGTGTGAATATTGGTGTCTTACTGTTTTTTATTAATGCTTACCTTGTGACTGAATTACATTATGTACCTGTGATTATGACTGCGCATGTGGCCAGACTCCCCACTCCCACCCCACCCCGAAGAATGCTGACTTACAAGCGTCAGAGTGCGCTCCACCATCGAAACGAACTCCGAAGAACCCCCTTGGATTTGCTTTGTGACTTGTCCCAGCCATTGCTTACTTGGTTGAAATAATTCAGCATTTCTTTTTAATCTGGAGTTTAATATGTTTTCTTTACAATATTTTCAGTATATGAAGGACCACATACCAGAACAGAAGTACTTTCATGAGGTAAATTATATGTTTAAAAGTTTTGCAGTGCTCCCAGCACTGCAGGACAAAGACGTGAATGCTGAGTATCGATTCAAACAGGCAAGGGGGTTCCTGGTACATTATGTTATGTCCCTGCCCTGCCTTATTCTTTTACTATCCCGGGTCCTCAGAGTTGCCATAATATATAAGTTAGAGATTTCTGAGGACCAGGTCAGTCTCCTTTAGGAAATTTGCGGTAAGGGATACATTTTAAAATAGCCCACTTCATTTGTGTAGTCTCCCGGTGTAAGCGCCCACGGGGAAGGTAGTACTTGCACATCATTTCCTCTGTACCTTATAGACTATTGTGATCTTTCCAATCACTTAGAGAGCGAGAAAGTGGGTTGGAGTTAGGTACTTTTTACCAAGGAAATAAAGTTAAATTCAGTGTTCTTTTTCGTTTTTGTGCTTGACTTTTATAGGACATTAATCTCCATTTGTATATATATATTTTTTATTTATGAAACCAAAAATTAGTCAGCACCCCTTTCATGAGTAGTGATTAACTTAAGACTCACAAGTGATATCTAAAGGGATGTGGTCAGATATCTCTTAGCCATTTTTACATTCCCTCTGATATAATTAAGATCTTTTTCTGAAATTTCTAATTTTTCATTCTGAGGAAAATACATCTCTCTATTTCTTACATGCAACAGAGTAACAGAGGATTAGTGTATTAATGCCATGGTAACAATAAAAAGATGTAAGTCATAGCTTATGCATGAGGTCAACTTTGGATGTTTTAAATGCATTTGACTTATTTTTGGTTTAATGAATGCTGTGAATGCTGCTATATTTAGATTTCCAATGGAAAATTATAAGGATGGCTATGAAAATATATAGAAGCTTCTAGAGAACTGAAGGTAAAATGTAGAGTTGCCTTTTCTAGTCCAGCTAAATGGCAGACCTCAACTAAAGATTACTTTCTTTGGGTTATTGGAGTTACTGAGTTGACCTTGCCATATACTATTTTGCAAATGACTTGAGAAGTAACCAATTCTTATCTAAATAACCACAACCTATACACATTTGCTCTCAATTTATAATAGTTATTTCATATTTACATATGGTTGAAAATTATGAGAATTAAAAAAATCAAAATAATTTGTAGATTTTGTGACAATAATGATTTATGTATGCCCGATCTATGCCTTATTTTTAAAGGGTTCCATCCTATACTAAGAGTCATTTTGTTATTGTTATTCAGAGAAATTGTGATCTTATTCACAAAGAAAAATATTTTTGTAAATCACATTCTATTTAAATAAAAATGTTAAAAGGTATGTTAAACTTTGCCGTTTTAAATTGTAAAGATGCTTGGCAGGCTGTGAGAAACACAAAGTCAGTACCGAATTACCGTAATTGTTGTAAATTCTTACCGGCATCAATCTAGTAACTAAAGGGAGACTGGCAGCACCTTCCACCTTGCAGTGGCCTTGGGTCCCCCAGCCTTGCATCACGGTGACCTCTCTGATAACTTCATCTGGGCTCTCAGGCTGCCAGGTAATCTCTGCAGATCTAATTACAGATACAAATATTTCCTAGATGAGGAGAGAGAGCAACATGAATTTGATGAATGCATTAAGCAGCCCTGCTTTTTAATCAGTTCTAGTACCTCTGGAAGCACACCTCTAAGGAATATTTTCTAAGTCTGTTTCTAAAATAGCGCAAGGAAAACTCACTTCCCTAGAACATCTTAAAAAAAACAAAACACACTTTAGTTGTTCCTAATCATTTTTATCCATTGTGAATATGTAAGTGCCACATCTTTGGATATATTGGTGAGGACTGGGCAATAGTATACAAAAATACCAAATATAAAAATTTGAATCTGTGGAATATTCAGGTTCTAAATACTAAATTAGATGACAAGTTCTTTGTTTATTATACTGCAAGTTACTTTATTGCCGTTTTCTATAAGTATTAAATACATTGGAAGATAAAATTTTTTTACTGAGGAGTAATTTGAAATAGCATTAGTACATTAGTGACCCTTTAAGTATCTACCTTCCTCAGAAGGATCTGTAGAGGGTTGCCAGGGTCCTTTTGTTGTTTTTAGGCGATACTTTGGCTTGTTAGCATTTGTTTTTTTGTCTTGATGCACAGAGAATTTACATGTGAGACTTTGGTTGGTATTCATAGGAGGTACCCATTCAATCCCCCCAGTCATCACTGAACTAGCCATCAGCTCTCATACTTCAAATTAGTCATAGCCATAAACTAGAGCTTACACAACACTGACACAGTAAAAATGTAGGATGACATGAAATGTGAAGTTTAACAGTGTTCAATAAGAGCAAATAAGCATTTGCTTCCAGAGCTATTGAATACATTTTTTTAACCTGCATTAAAAGGAAATTTTCCACAAAAAAATTTCTTTGTGAATAAGAGCAAAACAGTCGGTAGAAAAAAAGAAATTGTGTTAAAGCCTTTTCTGTGAACGTCTTTCCAAATTAGAACTGTAATAATGGATTGAGGAAATACTACAGAAAAAGCAAAAACGCTTGATTTCAGGTATGCAGAGGGTGTGGGCAGATGGGCAGTTCCCCGTGTGCACTGCCTTTGGAAAAATTGGGCCTTAATTTATATGTAAATAGCAATGCTGTGTTCACATCCCCCTTCTACCTACTAAGTTGTCTTTGTTGGTCTCTATTGTGTAAAATTCCACTCATAAGTATTACTTTTGTATTATGTCCATTTTTTAACTGCATGTTTATACTCTTTGCTACAGTATTGTTGAGTTTTGGGTAAAGGCCATCAGCTGTATGGAGAAGACAGAACAATCACTATTTATTCAGAATTGCTGCTTTACATTTCCAGAAGAGCTTTCCGTGCCAGGACAGTGGCCGCTGGAAAGCTGCAGGAGTTCTATTCCAATGCATTTTATATATTTTTAGAAACCAAATAAATGCAGATAACTATTTAGTATACTAATTATATTAAACCAGCAGAAATATAAAGGCAATAAAGTATATACATATATATATGGGGGGAAGGGAGAGATTAAAAAGGTTTACAACCAGACACGGTGATAGCCCTAAATGTATTTCTCAGTCTGTCTTTATTGACCCCAGGAGGATTTGAGTTGTGCAGCTTTAAACAGAAAATCACCGCGTTCACTAATTGTGCACATCTAAATATGCTTTTAGTACTGCTTTGCTTATGTACAAATAAAGTATCTGTAGTCTGTATATTATATGTAATTATTCTTTTCTTTCAACCTTCACTTCAAAGTGTATATTTTCTGATTATTGTCATGAGCTGTAAAACAGAATATCAATATTTGACATCTTCCCAAGTAATAAATTTTTAGGATTCATTGGGGCATTACATTGCTGACTTGTTTCTTATGTGTTTACTATTTTAAAATAATAATTTTATTTCCTTTAAAAGATGCCAGCCGAAACCAGTTTGGCTCAGGGGTAGAGCGTTGGTCTGCGGACTGAAAGATCCCAGGTTCGATTCCGGTCAAGGGCATGTACATTGGTTGCGCGGACACATCCCCGGTGGGGGGTGTGCAGGAGGCAGCTGGTCGATGTTTCTCTCTCATCGACGTTTCTAGCTCTCTATCTCTCTCCCTTCCTCTCTGTAAAAAAACAATAAAAAATATATTAAAAAAAAAAAAAAGATGGATGCTAGAGACAGTAAGTCTGCATATCGGTAACACAAAATTTACGTTTTTCTAAAAGTAATATTAATATAACTAAAAAATTATCTATTGCTGAAAAGGGAACTGTTTCATCCAAGTGAAACTGAATTAAGAAACTAAATGCCTCTCTTTTATTTATTTTTTTATTTTTTTTTTTTTAGGAAAACAATTTATGTTTTAATAAAAGATAATATAAAGTCAAATTATTGCCAACTGTTAAAGTTTTGTGGGTTTTTTTTTTTTTAATTCTAGGGTACACATAGTAAAAAAAGGAAACTATGCACACAAAAGAACAGAACATCAGCTCAGGGGCTTTTTTCTGAACAAATGACCCCTGAGTCTTTCCCACAGCATGCTTCTTAGCAAGGCTCTAAGTCTAGCCTGTCACACAAGATACTAAGTGAAGAGTCTCTTGAATCTGTTACTTTTAATATCTAATATTTTCACTTCTGGGTAAGAGAAAAAGCATTTTGGTCCATTAGTTCACCTACTCGCTCCTGGAGGACACTGACAAACTCTGCTATGACGAAGACATGGGTGTCATCAATGTCTTGAATGATGAACTTCTTCCCTAGGGCATTTGACTCGACCAAGTACAAAAGGAACTGCTTCATGGCAGGGTCACATTCTATAAGCACTCCTTTCAAGACGTTGACCATCTTTTCCTCAGTCAGAAGCAGCAGATGCCCTCACTTTCCCCTCTCGTCCTGGGAGCCGACGCCACGCACCGCCGCCCTCAGAACCAGCAGCTCTCCGGCGTCGCCTCAATGCCTCCCTTTTAATTTCAAAAGTAAAAGAGAAATTTCTTGTCACTGAAGCTCTGTATTCCCAGACCTCCAAAACCATAAGGGAGAAGAGAACTAACACTTTAGTACCTACTGGGTCGAGGTACACTAGGAGGGACATTCAGCCCCCCAGGGGACTTCCCCAAATCACACAACTGAGGGGTAGTTTACATGGCATTGAATCTGTACCTTTTGGACACCAGGGTGCTTTCTTATATTCTACGGTAAAGCTGCATAAGCTTACCAGTGCCCATTTTCTTCATTTAATCGCTCTTTAATGTGGAAGTATGTAAATTGTCATTTATATGTGTAATTTTTAATCCTCACCCAAGGATATGTTTATTGATTTTTTTAGAGAGAGGAAGGGTAAGAGGAACATGAGTGTGGAAACATCCATCGGTTGCCTTTCATATGTGCCCCAACCGGGGACAGAACCTGCAACCTAGATAGGTGCGATGACCTGGAATCGAATGCAAAACCTTATGGTGTACGGGATGATGCTCCAACCTGCTGAGCCACCAACCAGGGTATCATTTATATAGTTTTTAATAGAAGTTAGAGCTTGATCAAGAAATTACATACATGAATAATCATTATAAAAGCAAAGATTAAATGAGAACATAATTTAAAATACTATTTTATGTGCTAGCTGGGGGGACTTGTAGAATTTTAATTCCTTTTCCTGTCCTTCTCTAAGGTCTTACATTTTGTTAATGGCAGAGAAAGAAAGAAAAAATTGTTCACTTGACGCTTCCCTTGCTGCCCACTCCACGTTTGTGCTGCCAAGGGAGTCCTGTGAAATGGGCACCACACACGGCTCCTTCATGCTTCCGCAGACATGAGCCTATTGTTGGCCAGACACTGGATTGAAATTAACACGATTTGCTTTGCACCTCAAGAAATTACAGTCTAATGAGTACTGTAAAGGAACCAGAGTAGAGTGCCAGGGGGACACACCAGGAGGGTTCTACCCCAGGCGGTGTTGGCAAACCCTAGAGAAGGGATGTGAGCCAGGGAGTGCTATCTGGAACAGACCAGAAGATGCTAAGATGAGCCTGTGAGGCTGACCAGACGGTGAAGGGCCAGGGAAGGCTGGCAGGCAGGCAGATACATCATGAAGAGCCTTGGTTGCCGTGGTGAGGACCTTCCTTTCACTGTATCCTGAATGCCAAGGAAGACTTAATACGGTAGTGAAATATGGGTTAGCACAGCAACTTTCAACCTTTTTCATCTCGTAGCACATAAAAACTAATTACTAAAATTCTGTAGCACACCCAAAATATATTTTTTCCAAACTGACAAAAAAAAAATAAATAAAAGTATAATTTTGATCCATTAACACCTATTGTGTTGGCTGTTGTCATTTTTTATTATTATTAGGCAATGTAAAGGAAAAGAGGTCTATGCCCTTGACCAAATAGTCAGGTATTGCATGTTTAAAATTCTTGTGACACACTGCTTGTAAATCACTATAGTAACCTGAACTAAGAAAGCAGCTGTTGGGTTTTATTCGATAACAATTTTTTATTTTGAGCATCTACTTCGTGCTTGGAGAAGTCAAGAATCAAAAATGTTGTAGACATTCCTAAGGGGACAGTAACAAAAGAACTTGATGTGTAAATGGTGGGGGCGAAACAGAGCACTGAAGCCCCAGGTGTTTGACAGCTAGCCACAGCCCCAGGAGGCTGGTGGGGAGAGTACTCAGAGCCTCTGGATGAGTGGTCACACTCTGCACCACGTGCTGGGGGGCCCGGAGGGGGTCTCCCCTCGTGGAGAGCTCCTTCAGTCTTTCCTGCGAGAATATCATGGGTTTGAAAAGCTCCTGGCAGCACCAGGTTTACTCAGCCTTTGGTATGCTGGAATCCCGTTTTCCAGCATTGTACTTGACTCTGTATTTGATATCAACCACTATCATTCATCTGCCATGAGTAGGTGTCCAAAATGATAGAAGGATCTGACTTGGGTTCAGAATGGAAGTGAAAAGGGTGGGCCATTCACATAGTCTCTGTCTATGCCAAGCCAATATATAAAAATTTCCCGTAACAGCTGGCAGTGTGAAAATCAAACAAGTGAAGCAGAATACTTAGTAACAAATGATTTTAAAAACATTTTTAAAAAAAATTTATATTGATTTCAGAGAGCTAAAAACATCAATGAGAATCATAGATCTTCCGCATGCCCCACACAAGCTATCGCGCCCATAACTTGGCCATGTCCCCTGACCCGGAATGGAATCATGACCTTCTGGTTCATAATGAGTTGACTTTCAACCACGGAGTCACGCTGGCCAGGCACAAATGATTTATTTTCAAACATAAAGTAAATTATAGATATTCTTAAGTATAGGACACAATGAACTTAGATGCTGTGTGGCTGAGGAGGCTGAGGAGAGCATGGATGTGTGCAGGATGTACACAAGGAGCCAGCCCCCACCCCCAGCCAAGAGGACACAGGAGGCACCCGCCGAGCCGATAGGACTTGTGGTACCCTGGCCCCTGCTCCAACCTAGCCTGCATCAGAACCCTCAAAGACTGTATCCTAATTGAGCCAAAATAGATTTCCTTGTAATTTCTAACGTTTAAGACCACGCAAAAGAAACCATTTCTCAGCAAGAGGACAGTCCTTCAGCTCTCTGAAGACATCTATCCCATAGTGTTCTCGTTCCCAGGCTAAATATTCCCAATTCTTCCTGATAATGTTGTTTCCAGTCTCCCCTCTCCTGAGCGTGCTACAGGCCACTCCTGAGCGTGGCACCAGGACTGAGCACAAAGCTCTGTTGAGACTGGACCAGGTCCACACTGAGGAACTTGATTCACTTGTTACGGGCAACCTGAAACTCTGTGGGTTGGAGGGTGTGTGGCTGGTTGGTTCATGTTATTTTTTTTTCCCGAACCTCACTCATTTTTTTTTCCTTTTTTTTTTTTAATTAAGGTATTATATGTGTACATATCTTACCATTGCCCCCCCCCACTCCCGTACATGCCCTCCCCAGTATCTTAACATCCATTGGTTATTCTTATATGAATGTATACAAGTCCGTCGGTTGATCTCTTATATCCCCCATATCTCCCTACCCTCCCTCTCACTTATTTTTGAATCTGATTTGTTCACTAAAATCCTGTCTTTTTCACATTCGGCTGTCATTGAAATCATTACTAATTTATATGGGTATAACTGAGTTTTAGGAAACTCAAAATACTTATCATCTCCAAACACTTTGAAAGTGATACATCCCAGCCGGAAGATGTGAGCTTTAATGTCAGATCAATAATGAGTTTAATTTTGATGAGGGAAAGTGCTACAGGAGCACACACAGGAGGTGAGGGGGAAAAAATAGAAAAGGCTCCACGAAGGAGCTACATTCAGCTTCGTGAGAGTGAGCTGGCTTCTACTCCGTCCTATCTACCGACTGCCTCCTGAGTGGTGGACACTGGAGATACAGTGGTGAGCAAAAAAAAGGCCAAATTTTCTGCCCACATGGAGCTCCTATTTGAGAGCGGGAAATGGGAACAGAGAAAAATATATAGCATTGTGTACTGGGGTAAGAGCTAAGGAGAAAAATATTAAGCAGCAAAGAGCAGCAGGAAGTGCCAGAAGTTGAAGGGACAATTGCAAGTTTATAAAGGTGAGTTAGGGAGGCCGCTCTTAAGAGGTGACATCGGAGTGAAGACCTGAAGGAAGCACCTGCAGAAATGATAGGGAGCTCTCTGGACACAACCCCTGTTGCTTTGGGGGAAAAAAAAAAAAAGGTTTGGGAGGCCTGGCTTCCTGTTTCCGAGCAGCTGACTCAGAATGCATAGGCTTTTTTTCTGGCTGTGAGCCAGCAACCCCTCCTCCCAGTTACTCATTCAATCCATCAATCTTCTCAAATCAAATAATGTGAAGAGAGGGGACATTTTAAAGATATTAAATTTTTGTTGGAATTGAATTACCCTTAATCCTTCCCAATTTAAAATTAAACTCATAGGGAAAATGCCATTCTCTCAAACTTGATCTACTCTATTTTCCAAAGGCATGCTACAGGACTTTGCTAGACATCCCCTCCAAATTTAATGCAGCTTTAAAACTTAAAGGTAACTATTTTTCAGTTCAAGATCTGAAAGTAAGTCCCAGTCAAGTAAACACATATAATTAACTATCACAGTATATATGTATCTATATATGTGTGTATATTTATATACACACACACACATACATGAGCATATGTATGTGTATATATCTATATATACATTATGTTATGTGCATAACATTTCAGTTCAAGCCATTGTCAGGTACTCTACTATAGAGTGATCAATGTTACAGTCTACGACTTGAGGTCCATGGACTCTGAGAAAGGTTCCCAAGGCTCCTTGTATAGAGTCTCCCACTATGAGCATTTGGAAGTTCACAGCAAAGTAGAGAGTACACTGAATGGGGATAAGATGAGGAGGGAGTGATAGGAGACGGGACCAAATTGTGGGACCATATTTCATCTAGGAGGCAATGGGGAGCCCAACAAGGTCAAAAGACCCTGAAGATTAGATTTGCTTTACTGTAGCAAAGTCACAGTGATTGGGCTGCAGTTAGAGGAGATTGCTTCCAGGAGACGAGGCAGCTGTAACACATCTGCATAATTACCTGTCGTGAAAACTGTCCTGATCTCCCATCTCCTCCAAACTCTCCTCCACTGTCAACTTTTCACTTTGTGTCACCATTTTTCCCTGAGCATATGTCTAACATAGCCCATGAGAAAACACCAGCTAGGCCTAATTGGAAAAGTTCTAGACTGTTGTGAAAGGACAAAAACAGAGGGATTGCCCAAACCAATGGTCGGCAAACTCATTAGTCAACAGAGCCAAATATGAACAGTACAATGATTGAAATTTCTTTTGAAAGCCAAATTTTTAAAACTTAAACTTTTTCTAATACCACTTCTTCGATGTAGACTCGCCCAGGCCATGGTATTTTGTGGAAGAGCCAC